GTATGACTTTAATACCCTCTTTCAACTTCTTGCCTTCAAAGCCTCCTGATAAATTTCACGATACAACTGTTGGTTGTTATGGTGTACCTCAGGATTTAATTTAATTTTCAGCCTGTTTTGTTTTTAAACTCTCTTTCCCTCTCCACACCCCTTGTTCTGTCCTTTTCACTATTAAAAAACAGTTCAGGGCCAGCTCTTGGGCTGAGAGTATCAGGGCACATGCATGGCAGAAGAATCCACCAGTGGTGGGAGGTGTCCACTTGCTCAGGCTCCTCCTGTAGTCACCAGAATGGAGGTGTGCAAATGTGTATGTGTTGGGGGTGGTGGACAATGAATAGATACCAAAAAGAAAAAAAACAAAAGAAAGCAAAACCGACAAACTGTATTGTCTACCTTTGCTCTGAGGTTCCCGCAGTGTTATTCCGTGGTGGGTCTGTTTCCCCGCTTGGTGTTGCCATTTGGTCTCACCCAAGTTGTTGGCTTCGGGTCATTTAGCCCGGCAGATTAAAATATACACGATTTCTTACTCCCGCTACAAGCTCCATTAGCTATAAGCCTTCAAACTTTTAAAATATTCATAGAAATGTAGTTCAGAGTTTTGGAGCTCTGCCCTGAACCCTCTTCACCTGGTATTCTGTGGTATTGCTGATGGCTGACTTCACTGCATCTCTACCCTATCCACCATCAAACCCTGCCTCTCATGTAAGTCTGAAATTCCCATTTTTAACAATGTTATTCATAGTTTGTTATGATCCACATAGTCAAAGCCTTTGCATAGTCAATAATGCCCAAGTAAACATATTTCTGATATTCACTGCTTTTAGGCAAGACCTGGCTGATGTCAGCAATGATACCCTCGTTCCCTATCCTCTTCTAAATCCAACTTGAATTTCTAGCAGCAGCCTGTCAATGTATTGCTGCAATTATTTTTGAATTATCTTCAAAATTTAACTTGTATGTGATAGTAATAATATTATTTGATGATTTCCACAGTTCATTGGGTCAACTTTCTTTGGAATGGGCACAAATATGGATCTTTTCCATAGATAAATGAGCCCCTCCAATGCTTCATCAGTTTGTTGAAAGATACCAGTTTGTATTGTGACGGTTCCTGGAGCCCTGTTTTTTGCCATTGCCTCAGTACAGCTTGGACTTCTTCCTTCAGTATCATCTGTTCTTGATCTTATGGTTGTGTGCTCTTAGCAACCCTGTATAGGGTTTCTGATAATGTACATCTTTACAGGAGCAGAAAGCTTCATCTTTCTCCCTCGGAACAACTGGTAGCTCATAATCAAATATGCTACCAGGGCTCCTTGACCATATAATACCCCTTGATAAGGTTGAACATCAACCAGTTCTTTTTAATATAGTGACTCTTTGTATTCTTTCCTTTTTCTTTTGTATTCCTTCCATTTTCTCTTGATGTTTCCTGTGTCATTCAATATTTTGTATATAGACTCATTCAGTATTGCAAGTCAAGCCTTGAAATTTTTCTTCAGTTCTTTCAGCTTGAGAAAGGCTTAGCCTGTTCTTCCCTTTTGATTTTCTAACTTCAGGTCTTCGCTCATTTCATTATAACACTTTGTCTTCTTGAGCTCCCCTTTGAAATTTTCTGTTCAACTCTTTTACTTCATTGCTTCTTTCATTTGCTTTAGCTTCTCTACATCCAAAAGTTAGTTTCAGAGTCTTCTGACATCCACTTTGGTGTTTTCTTTCTTGTCTTTTAAATGACCTTTTGTATTCTTTATGTATAATGTTCTTGATGTGAGCCCACAGCGCCTCTGGTCTTCAGTCATTAGTGTCTAATGCGTTTAATATGTTCTTGAGATTATCTCTAAATTCAGGTGGAATATACTCAAGTCCAGAATCCTCGTGTGGTGCTTTAATATTAGCACTGTATTGCTAACTTCAAGGTTGACAGTTCAAACCCACCAGCCACTCCTTGGAAACCTTATACATTGTTGCTATGAATCAGAATAGACTCAACAACAGTTGACATATTCAAGGTCCTATTTTGGCTTTCTTAGACTTGTTTTCATTTTCTTCAGCTTCAGCCTGAATTTGTATATGAGCAATTGATGGTCTGTTCCAGTCTGCCCCTGGCCTTGTTTTGGCTGATTATGCTGAGCTTCTCCACCATCTCTCTCACAGGTGTAGTCATTGTGATTCCTATGTATCCATCTGGTGTGGTCCACATGTATTGTTGTTGTTGTGTTGTTGTGAAGTTCCGTCAAGTTGGTTCCGACCCATAGTGACCATGTATAGGGTGTCAGAGGAGCAACTGGTGAACTTAAAATGCCAATCTTGCAGTTCAAACTGACTTTGCAGTCCAGCACATTAACCCACAATGCCACACCAGGATGCCAAATGTATGTTGTTGTTGTTAAGTGCCGTCGAGCCAGTTCTGACCCATAGCAACCCTGTATAGTGTTTCCGAGGATCAGCTGGTGAGCTTGAACTGCTGACTTTGTAGTTCAAACAGCTTTGTAGTCTGGCGTATTAACCCACAGTGCCACACCAGGACTCCTCCACATGTATAGTCACCATTTATGTTTTTAAACAGTTTTTGCAATGAGTAAGTCTTTGGTCTTAAAAATTCTACCATGAGATCCATAGCATCGTTTCTACTGTATTTTCCAACTACTGATTCTTGCTCTTTGTTTCCAGCTTTTGCATTCCAATCACTAGTGATTATCAGTGTGTCTTGGTAGCATGTTTGTTCAGTTTCTTTATGAAGAAGTTGGTAGAATTCCTCAATTACATCAGCTTTGGCTTTAGAGGTTGATAATGTAAATTTGAGTAATAGTCATATTAACTGATCTTCCTTTAAGACTTAATATTATTCTACTATGGTTATTAAGGGAACATAGTGGCTCAGTATGGTAAGTACTGGACTGTGAACCAAAAGGTCCCAAGTTTGGGTCTGCCAGCTACTCTGAGGGAGAAAGATGAGGCTTTCTGTTCTTGCAAAGATATAAAAAGTTTCGGAAACACAATACAGGGTCTCTATGAGTCAGAACCAACTCCATGACACTTAATAACAACAACAATGGTTACAAAGAACATTTTCACTTAAATACTATATATGACATTTCTGATGACTCCATTTACAGTTTTATTTCTGCAGTTATTAGATCTTAGAATTTTTATTGGTATAGGATATGAGATAGAGATTTAATACTTGTTTTCTCTAGATGCTGACATCATTTATTCATTAATATTTTTTATAAGTGTCTTTGGAATCCTGGTGTGGCTCTGTTAGATCAGTACTGTACTGCGATCGGCTGTTCAAGCCCACCAGATGCTCCTTGGAAACCCTATTCAGGGTTGATATGAGTTGGAACTGATATGACTGCACTTGGCAACAACAACAGTGTGGGCCTACTTCTAAGCTTTCTATTCTATCCCATTCTTTTTGTCTGTGTATCAACACCACTCTCTTTGAAGTATGAGGTTATGCAAAGGGGCTTCAAAAGGTTCATGGAAATTTTTCATTCTCCTTTCATTTTATTCATGAACATTTTGAAGTGCACTCATAATATGCTTTAATATCTGCTAGGACAAGTCTACCTTTGCTTTTTGTTATTTATTATTCCTTAAGAACTTTAGAATTATTTTGTTGTACCCCTACCTCCTCTCCCTCCCCAAAATATATGTATACATACATACAGAGAATTCTCATGGTATTTTTATTGGCAATAAAATGCTAATGACTAGGGAAGAGTTGATGTTCATATTGTAATCAGTCTTCCTTTCCAAGAATATGGTATCACTTTTCATTGCTCAAGTTTTGTATTCCTTAAAAGCATTTGTCAATTTTCATTTGATATTGTATATTTCTTAATGAGATTATTCTCAAGTTTTATCTTTTTGTTTCTATATACATGGGCATTCTCCCATTATTTCATCTAATTTGTTTGTGTATGTGCTTTATTTTTCTCCAATCAATTCCCCATGCAATAGGGAACTTTTATACATATAAATGAGGTCATGTTACTCCATATATTCAGTAATATCCTATTACTGAAATTTAGTGTAAACCCTTTGTGGTATATCAGGCCCTGCTTGATCTGGAGCCTGCTTTTATATCTCTCAACATTTCTACTTCTTTGCTTTTATTCATCCTCTACCTGCTCTGATCTCCTTTCTGTTAATATATCAAGTTGTTGTTGTTGTTGTTAAGTGCCGTTGAGTCAGTTCAGACCCATAGCGACCCTGTACAGGGTTTCCGAGGCTGTAAATCTTTACGGGAGTAGAAAGCCTCATCTTTCTCCCGCGGAGTGGCTGATAGTTTCGAACCGCTGACCTTAAAGTTCGCAGCCCGAGTCGTAACCACTACACTATCAAAGCTCACTTTATGGCTTTGCCCTTTCTGTTTTCTTTCCTAAGTGAAAGAGCATTGAGTCAAAGAGAACAGAGAAGGTAAAAACACTGGAGTGAAGTTTGCCTCATTCACATTCAAGAACGTTCACATTCTCAATCTGAGCTTTGATGCTACTTCCTTAGAAAGATAACATCTTGTCTTATTTACTCAATACCATTATCACAGTCTGTAGTTATGTCATTTATTGATTTATTTACTTGTTCACTAGTTTTTGTACTTTATTAGAATTATTCTGTAAAGATAATGGTCTTGCCTGTTTTGTTTACCACTCTTATTTCCATCACTTAATATAGTAGCAATGGAGCCCTGGTGTGGCACTTGTCGGATAAAACACGGACCTCGAGGTTGGTTTGAACTACAAGGTCGTCGGTTTGAACCTTAAGGTTGTCAGTGGTTCAAACTCTCCAACCACTTCTTGGAAACCCTATACAGGGTCACTATGAGTCACAACCAACGTGACAGCACTTAAAAACAACAATGGAGTAGTTTGAGGAGCCTGAATGGCATCATAGGAAATGCATGTGATTTTCTGAGCATGAAGATACTGGTATAATTGAAATTGTTTGTGTTAATAATTCAAGTCCCCACCCACCCCCGCTTTTCTCTTCCCATTAAGGATTCTGGACCCTGCTTATCATATCCCTAACTGCTGGATTCTCCTGTTGCAGCTTTTCTTGGACTGTGACTTATTTTGATTCTTTCGAACCAGGGATGTTTCCTCCTACTCCTCTTTCACCTGCCAGGTTCAAGTAAGTATTCCTGTCTCTCTTTCTTTTTTAACCCATTTCAACTCTTGAAAATGCCAACATAAATAGAAAAGATGCTGCTTCTTTGTGAAATAAGATGTTGAGACCTTACTCTTTAATCTATGAAACAAAGTGACATGGTGTCTTTCAGCTTGTTTTCTCAACCTTGAAATTCCATATCTAGATAATGCAGTGCTTTTATTTAAAAAATGAAATTTAAGAATTGACTAGACACTTAGAAATATTGACTATCGTTTGTATTAGAATTTTATTTAAAACATGTTTATGAAGACAAAGTTAATGTGTGCAATTTGAAATTTTTACTAGATTCATGTATCAAAGATAAGACTGGTTAGTCTGATCATTTTATCTAGCAACGTAATTGGATTGGATATTTCCTCAGCACTTGAAGTTTGTAGTGAACTTTTAAGGTACCCAATTTATATTTGTAGACCAGATTAGGTGCTTTTCATAGTGGAGTAGTTTAAATGTCTTTGGACTGTATCGCCTGTCAAAGAATTTCAAATAAGTTAGTAGAAATTATTTTAATGCAATCTATTTGTACCAGGAAAACTTAGGTTTTAATATAAACTCTCAAATAATAGCATCTAAGATCTTTAATGTATTCTACCAATTAGGGGTAATGTGAGTAATTGCAGTGACTGTAGTTGTTGTTGTTAAGTGCTGTCGAGTCGGTTCTGACTCATAGTGACCCTATATAAGGTTTACAAGGAGCAGCTGATGGGCTTGAACCATTGACCTTGCAGTTCAAACCATCCTTGCATTCCAATTCATTTACCTACAGTGCCATATCAGTTACTAGAAAATAAAATTTTCAAGATAGGTATATTACCATTAATTACAGTTTTTATTATATTGTTAAGGAGCTCTGGTAGCGTAGTGGTTACGAATCGGGTTGTAAACCGCAAGGTCAGCAGTTCGAAACTACCAGCTGCTCCGCGGGAGAAAGATGAGGCTTTCTACTCCCGTAAAGATTTACACCATCGGAAACCCTGTACAGGGTCGCTATGAGTCGGTTCCGACTCCACGGCACA